GGGGGCAGGGCGGGCCCAGGAGAGGGAGTATCCCAGTTGTTTCACAGACCTAGCATGAGACTCCAGGTCATGTCAGCCAGTCCTTTGTCCTATGCAAGAATGTCCACCCACCCAGGAACCCCAGCCTCTGTTGGCTCTCCAGGGATGGGGGCCCACCACCTCTGCAGGGTCCAGGGCCCTGTTATCCTAATGCCTCCTCCCCTCCCCCCAGTGCCATCCTGTCTCCAACCCACAGGGAAGTGCCTCCTGTACTGCAATGGTGTTCTGGAGCCCTTGTACCTGTGCCCAAATGGTGTCCGCTGTGCCACCTGGTTTCAGGATCCCACCCGCTTCACTGGCACCATGGTGAGCAGCAGTACCCTCAGATGGGCCCATAGGCATTCCCAAGATACTCACAGTTTGATTGGACCAAGGAAAGAATAAGTAGTGCAGGGCACGTAGAGATGGCCAGTTCAGTCTTGGTAAGGGCTTCCCAGAGGAGGTTTTGAGGAGTGAATAGCGGTGTACCTAAAGCCAAATAGGAAACTGCACGTGTGGAGTCCTGAGAGGCCACTGAAGGACGCGGGGCTGTGGGTGGAGGCCTAGCAAATTGGGCAAGGGCCAGCCCCCATCACAGGCCTTTCTCTTCTCCATTCTTCTTCCTCCTGGGCTGGGGCCCGCTTGGCTAGGATGCCTTTGTGAAGATCGTGAGGCACGAGGGTACCAAGACCCTGTGGAGTGGCCTCCCAGCCACCCTGTGAGTAGCCGCTCTGTCATATCACCTTCCTCTGGACTTCTCTGATCCATTATTCCCAGTGGGCTGGCTGGGTGGAGGAGGCAGGAGTTCAGGATGTCCAGGGAAGACTTGGAGGATTTGGGGTCCCAGCTAACCTCTGTACACACCCCTACATCCACAGGGTGATGACCGTGCCAGCCACTGCCATCTACTTTACCACCTACGACCAACTCAAGACCTTCCTGTGTGGCCGAGCCTTGACCTCTGACCTCTACACACCCATGGTGGCTGGTGCTTTGGCCCGCTGTGAGCACAGTCCCAGGCCCCTGCTCTCCCTCTGTCCTCACCCATGTCCAAACCCTGTCCTGGTTTCCAGCCTCGACCTCTGCCAGCCTGTGGAGGGAAGGGGACATGTCCTAGGCCCCTAGACCCTGGGACCTGTCACCTGCGACCAGGCTCCTCCCCACTGTATCCCGTATCCCCCACAGTGGGCACCGTGACTGTGATCAGCCCCCTGGAGCTGGTGCGAACAAAGCTGCAGGCTCGGCATGTGTCATACCGTGAGCTGGGTGCCTGTGTCCAGGCTGCGGTGGCTCAGGGTGGCTGGCGCTCCCTGTGGCTGGGCTGGGGGCCCACTGCCTTGCGGGATGTTCCTTTCTCAGGTAGGCACCCAGGGGTGCAGAAGGTAGGGTAAGGGAGCCCTCGGGAGATGCACAGGAGTCTGTAGCCAAGTCTTAACCCCACTACTGCTGTGAAATCACTTAACCTCTCTGAGCCCTGGATTCCCAGTCTGTGAAATGGGCATAGCAGGTAGGGTATTTGCCCCAACCTTTCTGAGATAGTTCCTGGAGAGAGCCTGGCATATAGTAGTCAGGAGAAGACTGCATTTAGGGTCCACTGCACTGCTCTCTCTTCCCTGATGAGTGTTTCTGTCCCCCAAGCCCTATACTGGTTCAACTATGAGCTGGTGAAGAGCTGGCTGAGTGGGCCCAGGCCAAAGGACCAGACATCCGTGGGCATCAGCTTTGTGGCTGGCGGCATCTCAGGGATGGTGAGTTGATACGGCAGGGTGAGGCCGTCAGGGGTGTCCTTGGGGCCCCGAGGGCTGTTGGAGATTCCAGGGAGGAGCTGCCTGCAGAACAGTGCTGTGGTGGCTGGCGGGTGGTGAGCGCTTCGTCTGTCCCAGCCCCTAGAGCCACCTCCTGTGGCTGGATGCAGGGTTGGGGGTCCTGGGAATGAAGCTGAGCCCTTTCCCTGCTCATCAGGTGGCAGCCATCCTGACTCTGCCCTTCGATGTGGTGAAGACTCAGCGCCAGGTTGCGCTGGGAGCAGTGGAGGCTGTGAGAGGTGAGGGGTCGGGCTGAAGTGGAGGGGCTGGCGGGGGCCTGAGAGGGTCTGAGCGGCGTGCCTTGCCCTTGCAGTGCGGTCCCCTCATGCTGACTCCACTTGGCTGCTGCTGCGGAGGATCCGGGCCGAGTCGGGCACCAGGGGACTCTTTGCAGGTGAGTGTGTGTGTCCATGCCCTGGGTGGGGTTGGGGCCCTGGGACCCCAACCCCTGACCTGACCTCCCCCTCCCGATGCAGGCTTTCTCCCGCGGATCATCAAGGCCGCCCCCTCCTGTGCCATCATGATCAGCACTTATGAGTTTGGCAAAAGCTTCTTCCAGAAGCTCAACCAGGAGCGGCCACGGGGTCCTTGAAAGGGGCCAGGGGTTGAGGGCCCCATCTCCTGTACGGATGAGGCAAGGGCGGAGGAGACTGAGCCCAGTGCCTTTTCCTCAGCCCTGAGGGGCAGGGCCCTGTTTCCCTTCCTCAGCCTGGGCCCTCAGGCCCCCCTCAGACTTTCTTCCTGTTCCTTCTCATTCCTGAGGCTCAAGGATCACCACTTTCCCACCCCCAAGTTCAAGACCAAATCTGTTTCCCTCTGTTTGCTGTAGCTGGGCCTGCCCCCAGGAGCTAAAACCTCTGGGCCTGCCTCAGTCTCCCCTACCTCCATTAATTCATTAAGTCTAAAGATGATAAACTTTTGTCAAGTGTCCATAATTGGGGGGCCGGGTGTGGGGAAAGCAGGATTTGATGAATGAGTTGCACCGAGGAAGCTTGGGGGGTGGTGGACCCAGGGCCAGGGTGGGGGACTGAGAGTGAACTCCTTTCAGGAAGGGCCCGCCGTGTTGGGGCCAGGGTGGGAGGTGGTGAGACTGCTCCCCAAGGGCACTCTTAAGTGACAACAGAAGGGGGAGAGTGTGCAACTTTGGGCCAAAGCTGAATTGCTTAGGATGATGGAGGGAAACTGAGGCCCGGGCTAGGACCTGTCTCCATCCTGCCCCCAGCAAGGCTCAAAGAATATCATGGCGAAAGGGTGCTTCTGTGGCTTTGCTCTTCCCTGGGCTGAGCTAATAAAACACTTCAGACCGAGCCCCCACTCCCTGCTTGGGACCTGTTGGCCCCCAGAGCACCCAGACTGGTTCTCTGATGGACGTCACCTTGGTTACAGGCTGGGCATTGGCTCCAGTGACCTCAGGCAGGCCCTGTCCCAGCCCCCACAGACCAGGCTGCCCTCAGTCCTCTGGTTTTTATTTGCCCGACCCACTCAGCAGAGCCCCCTGCCCAGGGGACTGAGGAAGGGGCGATTCCAGGGGGTACACAGGGACAGACACGAGATGCATGGGACGTGGGGTGCTGAGGCTGGACCACCAGCTCTAGGGGATGGTGGGGGAGATGAACAAAGGAGGGTCCAGCAGGGAGCCAGTCAGGCACTAGGGTCATCAGAAGGAAGAAGCAAGTGTCCACAAGACGCTTCCTGGGCCTTGGCAGTCTGGCCTTCTGGCCCAAACAGCTCCCTTCACAGCTTTGCCTCTTCCGGCTGGAAGCAAAAATGAGCAAGAGGCAGGGGTCCCATCTTTCCCCAGAGGTCTCTGGTTGGGTGGGCAGCGTTCTCTGGAAGGGTGGTCTGAATGGGGGAACTCTGAGGAAAAGTGGCAGGCATCCATGGCCCCAGGCAGGTGGGGCTGGCGCTGCCTATGCTGCTCCTCAGCTGGGGCTCAGTGCCGGGCTTCCCTCGGGACTGTCGCTCACCAGGCACTCGTTGGATTTGAAGCTCGCCAGGGACTTGCAGCTGGGGATGGAGGCCAGGGAGCCGCAGAGGCCCAGCATGGAGGGCGTGGGGTCCTTCCCTGGGAAGAGAGGGTGGGTGAGGCCGGCCGACTGTGCTGCATGTGTGTGAGTGGGGTGGGGTGTGCACAGGGAATGGGCAGGGAAGGAACAGCCCCCAGGTTACCCCCCAGGGCACTTTCTTGATCTCTTCTGGAGCTTTTGCCCTTTTCAGTTAACCTTGATTAAGCACCTGCTGGTGCCATGCCCAGTGCTGGGCACTGGGGACACTGTATTGTAATCGTCAGTTTATGTCTCTGTCTCCCCCAGAGGTTCAGCCTCTCTTTGTCCATTTATTAAGCACACAGTGAGCACTTGCTCTGTTCCAAGCACTGGGGATACAGAGAATGGACGAGACAGGTCCCTGCCCTCACGGAGCTCACAGTCTGGTGGGAGAGACAGACACACAGACAATCACAAACAGTGTGGTTGGTTGATACATGTCAATAGCCTGCCTTGTCTCAGAGGTCTAGGGTCATCAAATACAGTGTGGCAAAAAAAAAAAAAAAAAAAAACACCAGGAAATCCAGGCATAGGGAGAACTAGGATGAGAAAAACCAAGATGAAGCTCGGGGTGAGGTCAACACAAAATGCATGCATTGAAGTCCTGAACATTCGCTTGAAGGGAGCCACTAATTTGGCTCTGAGCTTCCTGGCAGCCAAAGAAAAGGGGGAAACAATGGTCAGGCGAGCAGTAAAGTGTACTTGTGATGAGAGCAAATTAGTTAGGCTGAAGAACTCCCCAGGAGTTTGTGAGCCCCTTGAGGATTATGAGACCAAAAAGCCATTGAGCCCTCACCATATAGCAGCCATTGGTGGTGGTTTTAATCAACATCCCCATTTTACAGATAAGAACGGGGTCCAGCGAGGTGAAGTAATTGGCCAAGCTCATGCAGCCAGCATTTGCACCCGGGTCTGCCTGACACCCAAAACCAAGCTTTTAGCTGCTGTGCTAAGCTCTTAGGAAGGGCTGCAAAAATGAGAGAATTGGTCTGGCCTCTGTCTTGGAGGGGGGCTGGCTTGAGGGGGCTCACCGATGGGGCCCCAGGGCTCCTCGTCTCGCTTGCAGTCTCCCAGGCGCTGGGAGTCCGAGCTCAGACTGGCCTCGGCTGACAGTGGCTCCGTGCTCATAAAGCTGTGTCTGCAGCAGAGCGGAGAGCTGGGTTTGCAGGCAGTGACCTATAGCCCCCAGGTTGCCCCTTCCCCAAAAGGGCTGGCACTCGGGCTCGAGCTGACCTCGGCTGGGACTTACCTACGATAGAGCTTAGGGTTGTTGGCACCCTCGGCCCCACTGAGCGTTCCCAGTGATGGCCATTGGTTGACCAGGGGTGTGGTGAGCTCCTTGGAGCCTTGGGTCAGGGGGGCGTGGTCACCGGGGATCAGACCTGTCCTGGGGGAGGAGGAGGTGTCAGGCCTGACTGGGAGAGGGAGCAGAAGTGGGAAGAGTAGGCTCAGCAGGGGGTGGGGAGGGGTTAGGGACGAAACCTGGGTAGTAAAAACGAGGATACAATATAGAGGGTCAGTGGGCAGACCCTGGGAGTCAATGGAGGTGGTTCTGGGTGTCAGAGGGGTGATGGGGATTAGTGTACTAATGTTGGAGGCTAGAGGGAATAATAGGGTGTTGTGGGAGTCAGTTGGGGTGATGATGGGTCAGTGTGGAGAGTAGTATGAGAATCCCTGAAGGGTAACAGGGAGTCTTGGGGGTCATGTTGGAAGGTCATGGAGTGACGAAGTTTAAGGGAAGTATTAGAGGCATCAGTAGGTGAAGTTAGGGGGTCACCACGGGTGATGATAATCAGTGGGCCTATGTTGCAGATTCGAGGGGTGTTGTGCAACAAGAATAATGCAGTCGTGGTGGCTGAGTAAGGTTGGAGGTCCTTGTGAGTAATGGCGTGGAGGAGTAATGCCGGAGGTCAATGTGAGTAATGTTGGATGGCCATTCTAACTGACGTCTACAGTCATAGAGATGTAGTTGTCACTGGATCTTATGTTGGGGATCTTTGGGAATAATGTTGGAAGGTCATGGGGGGGTATTGTAGTGAAGGTGATGGATCAGTGGGCTAACGCTGGCGGTTAGTTGAGTTGGATGCGGTGTCAGGAAAGGTGATGTTAGGGTCATGGGGGTGACACCACTTGGGGGTCCCTGGATAATGGGGTTCGCTGACGTGACGTGCTCTGGGTGGCTGGGGTCAGGGGCAGGGGTAGGGCGGCAGCGCGCTCACAGCTGCTCCTGCAGCTCCAAGATCACGCCCTCCAGCTCCCGTTTCTCGCGCTGGTTCTGCGCCGCCGCCTCCTCCAGCTGCAGCTGCAACCGCCGGTTCTCGGCCTCCAGGTCCTTCAGCTGCGACTCGCGCAGGCGCACCAGCTCCTCCAGGTAGCCCTGCAAAGCGCCGGCTCAGCCCTGGCCGAGAGGACAAGGTCCCCGCTGCCGTCCCCGCCGGCTAGGCCGTGTCCCCGGTACTGCCACACCCCCGCCCGCCGCTCGGCGCGCACCTTCTGCGCGTAAACGATGCGAAATTTCTGCTCCATTTTGTGCCACTTGCTGTACCAGCTGTCCTCGTCGGTGACGAGCGGCAGGTACGGGTGTTCGGGTGAGTTGTCCTCGCTCGTGCTGCTCTCGGCGCTGTGCCGCTCCTCCTCGTCTGTCAGGTAGTCGTAGCTTCGGAGAGACAGCAGTGGGCGCGGGCGGGCCGCTGCCCCACCCCGCGTCCCAAACCAGCCCCCTGGGGCGGGGCCAGTATAGGATACTGGCCTGGCAGTCCCCACCCCCGTTACCGCCCCTCAGAGCCGTGGGTCACCGTAGCTTACTGTAACTCCCGCTGCTCACCTTTGGGTGAACTTCAGGTAGGGCGTGTAATCGATGACCACGGGGGTCTTCCCGTCCAGCACTTCACCCTTTAGGCAGAAACTGGGGCAGAGGAGCCGCAGGGTTGGGGCCGGGTAGGAGGGGATAGAGGTGTGGAAGTTTGTGGGGGAAACACCCCCACCCCGCACCACCACGGAGACCCCACCTGAAGTCGATGGCGCTCAGTCCTATCAGCATCCCCGTGAGGACCGTGGCTTCCTCTCGCAGCATAATGGCTCCGGAGTCATAGAACCGTCTGTGGGACCAGAGAGGGACTGATGGCCCAGCACCCTCCTCCTCCTGAATCCCTACCCCTCAGGACTTCTGCTGGCTTCCTCCCAGCCTTTCCTGGATCCTGTTGCCCTCCTCAGACTGGGGCTTGCTGGGGATAGGACCTGTGTCTCCCACCTATTAGAATGGATGTTCCCTGAGAATAGACTCCCCTCCATCATTTGAACTGCCCCTTCCTGCCAAGTACATGGTCACCCAGATCCTCAAAGTCAGGCAACAAGTCTAAATCCTCTGCACTTGGCATATAGCAGGGGCTCAACAAATATGTTGACCTGAACTCTGAAATGTGAGGACAGACAGGATAGATGCTGCAGTAAAAGGTCAGGCTGGGTGTGACCACCTTGGGGTGGAGGGTACATGCCCCTACTGCATCCAACAGCTTCAAACACAGGGACCTGAGTCCACAGTCCTGCAAACCCACAGTCCAGGGGCTGAAACTGCTTGCCGGGACTCTGTAGTCCCAGTAACAAGTACAGAACTGCTGCGATTATCTGGGGAGCAGGTAAGGCTGTGTGTCGAAGGTCATGGAACAAGGCCAACAAGTAAAACGATACATCGTTGAGGCTTGTCCAGAGGTGTGTCCAAGGGTAGAGCTATGCATGATGGGAGTGGTGGGAGATAATGGGGCCTAGAATTTGGCATGGAGGTGATGGTAGTGGTGCTGAGCTCCAGGACTGCAGGAAGGCCATGCTAGGAACAATTAGGGAGAGAAAAACTAGCAGTGCA